GGTCGTTTGACCCCAGCATTCTTTCCTGCCCATGGCAGGGGGAAGACTTGATGATCTGCTTAGGTCTCTTCCAACCCTACCTACTATGAAACTATGAAGCAGGAACCAGAAGTGATGAGCAACCCTGCAGAGTCCTGCTGCTCTGATTTTGGACTGCAAATCCCAGAGACCTCAGGGGCAGCAGGAAGAGGAAGTGAACACACAGGCCATGCTGATTACATGCCAGAGACCCATGCTCTAGGTCCCCCTGGCTTCTGGCTTGAGCCACCTCAGGCATGTGGCTGCATTTCCTGAATCAAAAGTGAATATCTGTTCATTTGCTTATTAGTTCAATCTTTGCAGCTTAGACTAATCTGCCTTGCGGTTTTTGACTGTCTGTACTTAGCCTTAAAGTTGAAATCCTGAGAATATAATTAGTTTCTTCCTCCAATCCTTCCACTCTCACCCCTCTTATTTATGAAAGTTTCCGTGAGGCCTATTAATAGCTAGTTGATCTTTGGGGTGAACAATGCAGTTCCTAACTCTTGTTTCTTCAAATCCTAACATTATTTCTTTTCTAGTTAATAAATGGGGCTTGAGGAAAAAGTAGAGACCTCTGTATATTAACTGTTAATCCTCTGATAAGTCCTTTTGATCATGAATACCATGATGCCTTTGTGGAGTTAATTGGAAATCTATAGGATAATTTTAATTTTTAATCAGTAAAAGTTACAAAGACTATTATGAAAATATCTGGTTTTTTTCCATAACACTTTTCATATCAGCCACATGTTACTCTTTCTTAGGAAATCTTGGATCAGGAGTTTTAACTCCAAAACTGGGTTGTATACTTCAGGACATGCTAACATAGGAAAACTTACTGACTCTAATTTCAAAGTGGCTATGAAAAAAATGGTGGACTTTTCCAATGCACTGGTTTCTGTAGAGTCTGCTCATCTCAGTGATATCTTTTATACTCCTGTTAGGGCTGCAGAGCCTGCACAGTCAACTGTGATATGGCTTCTAGCTTGTCACTAGGACCACTTACCAGACTTATATCAACTATTTCCTTCCTGGATGTGTATGCAAAAGTCTGAACTGTATCTCTGTGTTAAGGAGTGGACTTTACTGGTAGGGAACTGGGCAGCCTAGCCAAGCCCCATATAATTAGTAGTGCCAATGGGGGCACAATGATCATCAGCTTAGAAAGAACTTCTAAAAGCAGTGCACCAGTGCATCTGGAATCTGCTGAATTTTAGCTACTTTTTAGCAGCAAATAATATAAACCTGGAGCACTAAAAAACATAAGGGAAGGTATAATTCTGTATTAGCAGCTCCTTGCTGAATTCTTTTACCTACTTCTAAAGTCAAAAAGAATCTGTAGCTACCTATGGGTATTTGTAGATGACACAGGGGTTTAATGCTCCCTAAATTGAAGCACTGCTTTTTAAAAAATAAAGCTTCAATTTAATGCAAAGTAAACCCACATGTCACGTACACCCATGTCCTTACCTGCCTCCCTGGCAGTGGGGAAGGGAGAGTGAACTGCTGGCAGGCCAAGCAGGCCCTGAGCTGCGGGGGCGGTGCTTCCCTCCACAGCAGTGGCAACCCCCCTAGGCAGCATCCACCCTTTGCTCCACAGCAGTGGCGACCCCCCAGGCAGCACCCACCCTCAGGCACCCATCACGGATGGTCCCAGGGGACACTGCAGCTGCAGAGGGAAGTGCTGGGCCCCTGCAGAGCTCAGGCAGGCAGGCTCCAAGGAAGAAAAAAAAAAAGATCATGTTTGCCACTTTTTTTTTCCTTCAGTGCAGCCTGCCTCTCTGGGCTGCTGCTGGGCTGCCTGCTGGGGCTGCCTGCACAGCCCCTGAGCCACACACAACCTGGTGCTTCCCTCCGTGGCTGTAAGGTAGCAAAATAAAACTACTCAGAGGTGTTTTAGTTTGCTGTGCCCCAAAGTCATTTAAGGTGCATTACGTTGCCAAATTTGTCACAGTGGCTGGAATTAATGCACACTACACCGCCAAATTTGCAAACTCGTGCAAACAGCAATGCCATTAAAGCAGTGCTAACAGGCATTAACCCACACTAATGTGTTGTCTGCAAGTGCCCTAAGTCAGCTTTTATGGCTTCTTGTTGCACTGTGGCTACCTTCAGTTTTAAACTTTCTTCTCACTCAGCTGGCTCAGCTATCATTGAGCATCCGGGGCTAAATACAGAAGTCAAAATGCCCAAGGCTGAATTGATTCAATTGTTGCAGGTTAGTCTAAGCTGCATAGATTGAATTGATAAGGAAGACATTCACTTTTGACTCCAGAAATGCAGCCACATGCCTGCTGTAGTCTAGGCCAGAAGCAGGGAGGTGCTAGAGTATGCCTCCCTGCTTGGCTGGAGCAGACAGCTTAGGCCAAGGCCAGCTGCCCACCCTGTAACTCAGGGGGAGGGAGGATGCTCAGATGAGGTACAAAGCATCTTGAGATGCCGGGGTACTGTGAGTTAACTAGAATCTGGAGGGGATCTGGGACAGAGCTCAAAAAACTGATTTAACTTAAATCAGTTAAATCTGATCCTACATCCATCCAGATTTATCTTAAATTGGTTTCAGCCATTTTGAAAGTGGTTTATGAGCACTGAACTTCTGTTGTTTTACAGATTTGAACTGGTTTAGCCTCCTCAAGTACTGCACAATGAATCTGCATTATCTAGTAGTTGCAAAATACCTGGACAAATATTCAAAGGCAGCCAACAAGCTTTTTTACTAACTGATGAAAACAGGTATGGTGTCAAGTACCGACCCTCTGTTAGGATCAGATTTGCCCAAGGCAGATTCTCCATATGAAACAAATTCCGTGATAGGTTATTTTTACATTTTTTGAGAAAATCCAACCACTTACAAGTCTATATGCATTTGGATGCTTTTTATTAAGTACATATAATAGTTAAACGTATTGTAGGTGCCAGTTTAGTAGGCTGTGAAAGAATTTCCTCACACTTTTTCATAGATCCTAGTGCAAGTGACATCATTCATGGTACATTCCTAAAAGACAGAAGAGGCATTCCCTGATGAAGCTTACACAATAATAAAAAATAAAAATGATTTGCCCAGTGTCACATAGGAAACTGGTGGCAGAGCAAGGTCTTGAAACGAGTTCTGCCAGGTCTTCAGTTTCTATCCCAACCAATGGCCCATTCTCACCTGGATCTTCCCAGCTCAATAATATTAATTTAATTCTAATTTGTTTTCCTTCTGCCCTGGAAGCAAATCATATTTTTAACACATGCCACAATTTCTGAGGGGATGGAATGTATAATTAAAGTATGACTGGTTAGCTGATCTCAACTGGTCTTTGCATTATTCCGTGAGCATAAAACAAGAATGAACTCACCACCACCATTTTTCCCTCCACCACTTTTCTTTTTATTGTAGTCTCTTTGCCATCCCAATTCTGGACCTGATTTAATGAACCATCTTCTAAGGTTACAATGCTCTGAGGAAACACAAAGTAACTAAATGTAGGTATTGTGCCCAGAAAAATTATAGTTTTTACTGCAGCAGCTTCCAGATAGGAGTCCAGGTAGGATTACTATTCATTCTAGATTCTGAACAAGCACAGAGAGCCCTTGCCTTGAAGAATATGTAGTCCTTTGGATTAAAAAAGTGATTCATTCTGCAGTCAAAAAACACCACCTTCTAATTTGGGGTATCTTGCTACTACTCATCACTTGAGTTTCTGAATACTTTTTACATAAGATAAAAGGCAATAGTTAGCAGTAGGCCCAGTCATATTCAACATCTTCAGTGATGATCTGGGAGCAAATATAGAATCACTGCCAGCGATGGAATGGTTGGTGCGATGGCAAATCATGATGCAAAGTTTGGTGCAACAGCAAATATAAGGACAGGGTAGTCCTATGCAGTGATCATAACCACTTGGTCTTGAGAGACTCCAGAATGAATAATTGTGCCAGGGAAAAACTGTTTAGCATGCACTTACAGTGCAATGAAAAAAGGGCAAATATAATCCTATAATTGGAGAGTAATGAATATGAGTCAAGAGCTGATTTGACCTCTGTATACAATATTGGGTGACTGGTAATGGAATACTATATCCAGTTCTGGTGTCCACATTTTTAAAAGGCACTTAAAATACTGAAGAAGGTGCGGAGCTAACAAATGTGATTTGCTGACTGGAAAACATGCTTATAAATGTTAGAGTTCAGTTGGTATCAGTATGAAGACTGATGAATGCCTTGATTACAGTATAGTTATTCTGTTTCATTGGGAGAATATACTAAATATATGGAGGTCTTAGCAGAAGAAGTGAAAGCAAGAAACAATGGCTCATGGCTGCAAGTAGAAGTCAGAAAAATTCAAGTTAAAAATAAGTCACAAACTTTGAACCAACGGAACTGATGGTCAAGGGCAGTTTTAGATTCTTTAGTTCTTGAGGGTTTTGATATTTCAAGACTGGATGCATTTTTGGATAAGGTGATGAAGCCAAACACAAATCATTGTCCTCAACATGGGGGTAACTTGTGCAAATGTTAAAGGCCTGTGAAAAACAGGAGGTCAGACTAAATGACTGCATGGTCCCTTCTGCCTTAGATTTTGTAATAGCTTATGAAAAATACTATTAGCAGACTTTATAAAATCTCTGGCCCTCCTCCATCTTCAGAGTATAAAAAGTCTATTTCAACTGCATCAAGCTTTTCTGATGTGAATGAATTTCAGAAATGTTCTCCCTGGTAGTCAGCACATTCATTAATTCCATGTTAAAATTCCCGGTTCCATAATTCCATAACCTTTTGCAGAGATTTGGACCACTCTGACTAAAAGCTTTAATCCTCACCTTGGTTTTCCGGTCATCTGGTGTGGTTTCATCAAACTGCTCACCAAGCTTGAACGAAATCTCGTTATTTTTAAAAGCACCCTTGGTTTTGATGGTTATTACATCTCTTTCAGCACTAATTGTCATGCTGGGCTTGGCTAGCCTACCCAATTTCCTGGTGGCTAAGCCCACTCCTATAAAAACAGAATTTAAAACTAATCATTGGAACACACCTCCTCCCCTCCTCCCCTCCCGAAG